ATATATATATTAAAATTACATAGGGTTAAAGAATTTCAAATCATTAATTTATAATTAATTTAATAAAATAATTTAAATAAAATATCAATAAGCAAAGTTTGACTAAAATAAATCTTTACTTTTCTAATATTTGTCTTATACTTTATTTTTTCAGCTATTCATAATTCAACATTCACAAATAGTGGGTTTAAATTATCACCACTAATATCACTCTATTGTTAAACTTATATTGTGTTAAAAAGCAAGAGAGGAACTATTAATGGGTTAACCTGGGCTATAGTCCAACTTTAAAAATAAAAATAAAAAAATTTAATACTATTGTTCATATAAACCTAGTGCATATGTAATAAATTTGTAGTATTACTCTTCATCTTCCTATCAACCCACCTATTCATGTGTTTATTTGGGTTATATGCTGCTACTATCCTTCTTCTTCGAACTGTTCCCGTATTTATCTTTTATTTTTTCCCCTTTAAGCAAGGGCATAAATTATGTTAATTAGAAACCACAATTCAAAAAGTTTACAACCGCTTATCATTCAAATTAAGATATAAATTCATATTCCCTAAAACATGGGCAGTCTTAATTCAAAATCTAATCACCTTTATCAATTAATAGTTGTATGGATGTTCAAGAATTAATTGGATAATTTTTTATTTTATTTTTACCTAAAAAACGAATTCCAATGGATACTTTGACCGTGGATAACAAATATGTTCTTACATCTAACTTTAATTTGAGATCTAAACTTGGTAAATTAGGTTTCTAGGTCCTCTTGGATCGAATCTTTAGTAAAAAATGATCAATTTCATGATCTAGTTACTTTGACATGAAAGTAAGACCATATTGAACACAATATACCTTTACCATATCTATTAAAGCTACACACTCAAAGTCAAAAAAGTAGTTAAAACTATTTTATACACTTAGTTACTTAATAACTTTTAATGATTTAAAAATAAGAATTTTAATATTTATCTAAAATTTATATTTATATCATAATTAATAATTATTTAAGTAAAATTTTGTAACTCATTAAATTTTAATCTTTATTACTTAGAATACTATTTGTTGCTCATGATTCATGAATACACCAAAAAAAAAAAAAAAAAAAAAAAACATTTGGTTTCATTAATATTTAAAATTGTAATTATTCAAACAAATTGCTAATTAATTATTTAAAAATAAAATTTATTTTGATAATTCTCTACAATTCTAATTAAAATTATAAAATAACTTTTGATGCACGTTGTTTTACTAGTTCTAATAAAATCATCTCTCTTCTTTTGGATGAAAGCCAATAAAGCGGAGTACTAGTGTCTTGGCAATTTCTTTACTGAGATAAATTTTCGGGATAAAAATGTTGAGAGATTAATCACAATTTCATTATGAAAGTTGTGTTTGGGAATTAATCAGAATTCTATTATCAAAGTTGTAGTGCCTTAGCAATATCTTTACTGATTCAAATAACAACTTAGAACAATGCTGTCAAATAAAATCAATTGTTCATGTCTAATAAAATCCTGCCATGACTCGTGAGCTCCAATTGGGTGAGTTGGCATACCATGTCATTGTCAACCAATTTCTTTTTATTCAATGAGTAAGTTGATCTAAATGTTTTGACCAAACAACAATCTAATAATTTTGATAATTACAAATCATAAATGGCATTTAGGCACTATTGTCAACATTGAGTATTGTGCTAGATATGATCATATTTTCATGATAGACCTCAATGAAACAAAACTGATCAAATTTACATTCCAAACATTCCAATACACACGAGGACATCAATGGTGAAGCTATAGACATGGATATGGGCGGAGCCAGCATATGTCTAGGGGGCCTGGCCCCGTCCTATATAATACATATGAATTTTTAAAATTATTTTTACATATATATACAAAAATTTGTATATTATGCCCCCTAAAAATATTAAGTTTTCAAAATTCTCTTTAACCTTTTCCTTCTTTTCCTCATTTACTATTTAAATTTCTTTAGTTTCCTTTTTAAATAAGTCAAATTTTACTTATTCAATCATACACTAAATCGTTTTATTCAAAATCCTGTCATTTTTCTCTTCCTATTAAACTTCTTCTTCCGCCCCTGGATATGGAAATAACTTGAAGTTACACAAGTGAATAATGAATGCATTCAAAGTTGACTTGGACCTCAAAGACTATGAATTCAACTTGAAGATCAAGAATACAACTCAAATGATCAAGAAAGAAACATCAAAACTCAAGATCAACGACAAAGCTTGAAGAATAAGGTAGATAGATTGGTAAGTGCTTATGATTCAATGTCAAATTATTTTTGAATCTCTTTTGAAGCTCACTTCTATAGGATACCTAACTCAACCTAGGGATAGGTCATATACTTCATTGGTGTACACATAATGACCTAACAGTTATTTGTTGGCTCGAAACCTCTATAGAAACGGTTGTGCATTTATGGAGACATATACAAAAAGTGAGAAAATTTTATGAACAATTAAGAGTTATCATTTTAGCATTCAATACACTCTTCACTCTTTCATTCATTTCAGTTTTAACTTGATTCATTAATATTCTAATTTTATAAGTTTTGATTTAAATATCAATGTTTTGAGAGATTCATACATCTTTGTATTCAATACAAATCACTGTAAGTGTTTGTTTGATCTAAAAGGTTGGTGTGACCTAAAAAAAAGTACAAGAGAAGGAGGTTGTCATAGCCAAAGAAGGAGAACTAGCTAATTTGCTTCTTGTAAATGTTTGATCTCTACCCGAAAAGAGAAGACATAGTGAAATTGGTAAAGTTTTAAGAGGAATTTTGAGTTCAAGAGTAAGAATTTTAAACCTCGTGTCATTGTGTTTGAATTCCCCTTCCCTTATCTCATTAATTAAATTGTGCTTATTTTGATTGTCTTAATATGTTGCTTTTGCACAATTTATATTGATATTCCTTAAACTTGTTAAATTCTATTAATTCAAAAAATTGTCCATTATTTGCCAATAGCAACGCGATAGTTAAATAGGTTCCTCTATAAGCTAAGTAAAGTTCAGTCAAAGCAGAGTCTAGTTGAGAAATGGACCATTCGACCATTGATTTCTTATGACCAGAAGATTCCATATTAACACCACAGTGAGGGGTGGTGTAGTCGGGTCGAAGACAAGTAGTAATATAAAATTAAAATTTTAAAATAAAATAGTTGTAATAATTTTAAATTCCGTGCATTTTTAATGATATGAGATAAATGAGGTTATCAATTGTTACTTACCCACATTCTTTTTCTCTCTCTTCAATTCATAAGAAATAATTATAAAAAGCTTGATACTATTAAGAGGAGTGTTAATTGTAGTCGGGCTCGCTTTCTTTTTCTCTCTCTTCAATTCATAAGAAATAATTATAAAAAGTTTGTATACTAGTAAGAGGAGTGCTAATTGTAATCGGGCTCGCGACTGTCACTTTTTATGGGTCACAATTCCTATAATTAGAGATTCATTTATGAGATGACTCATGCCTTTAAAAAAATTAAAAATATAAAATTTTAGGCAAAATTACCCTTTAACCTTTTTTTATCTCTCTTTTTATTCTCATCTCCTCAGTTTTATTCCTTATATCATTACCTAAAAAAAAAAAAAATACGAGAATATATTATTTTCTTTCTTTTTGGATTGCCAAAACAAATAATATTATGGGAATAGATTATTTTATTTACTTTTTTTTTTAATTATAATTTACCATATACATGTGCTATATATGGATCCATGTTCAATTCCTATTATCACACTTCATATTATTTTCTTTGTTTTTGGATTTGCCAAAATGAGTAACATTATAAGAATTGATTATTTTATTTCCTTTTTTTATATTATATTTTAACACATATACTTCCTATATATTGATAGCAAGTGATATATATATACACACACACACATATGTACATTGATTAAGTGAGGAGAGAAAAAAATAGAAATAAAAAACTTATACGTATATGAAGGTAGTTTATTTACACACACACACCTATATATATATACATGTACATCAATTAAGTGAAAAAAAATAAAAAAAAAATAAAAAAACTATATGAATTGTGATTATAGGAATTGAATTGTGAATCCGTGTATATATATTGGCAATTTAGAATGTTATTGATATAAGGGATAAAACTAAAGAAAAGAGAATAAAATGAGAGAGATAAGAAAATATTAAAGGATAAATTTGTCTTAAAATTTTTTATTTTTAATTTCCTTTAAAGGCGGAGACATCTCATAAATGAACATGTAATTATAGGAATTGTGACTAATAAGTGCACTTCTCATATATACACAAATACATGGAGGAGAAAGAATAAAATTCAAGAAAGAGGATAATATTATCTTATAAAATTAGATTTTAATGTTTCATAAAAATAGAAAGCAATTAGCACTCCCCGTGTATACACAAACACATAGAAGGAGATAGAATAAAATTCAAGAAAGAGGGTAATATTGTCTTTTAAAATTAGATTTTAATGTTTCATAAAAATAAAAAAATGTATTAATTATAATTATTTTGTAACCAATCACAGAGCCGCGAGTGCAATTACCAGCTACTCCTCTAACTCAATTTAATAATTTAGAACTAAAAACCAAATAAATGTTTTTTGACTTTTCAAATTAATCAGTTAAGCAACTAAGAAGATAATTTTGAAATACCAAATAATTTTAATTTATGTTAATCGTCTCACTCTTTTACATTTTCCATAAGAAGGATTAACATTAGATAATAATTCTGTCTCTCTTTGTCCTGCAATTAGATGTAAATCGAAAAAAGAAGGGCTAACAAGAACAAACCAGCTGATGCCATTTATATGCACCATCATACAGACAGATTATATAAATCGTACGCTACGTATCAGTTGCTGGTAAACGCATTTAGTAGGATCGATCGCACCATAGCAAAACCCTTATTCTTGGTCACCAAGTAAATCACTCCTGTAACACCTCAGCAAATCTCGCACACTCGGAGAAAAGCAAATCTCGCACGCTACCCCACAACAGAGCTATGGCTTCACAACTTTACGGCCCACCGGAACTCCACAACCAGCCGTCCAACGGCGGCGCCACTGCCGCCATGGAAACAGATCCACCAACGGGTTTCACCGAAAACCGTTCCCTTACCTACCTCGCCACCGGCAATCCTTGCCTCGATTTCTTCTTCCATATTGTACCCGACACAGATTCGAAGTCGCTGATCAAGAGATTGTCCAAATCTTGGGATTACAATCCAGTGAAAACCCTAAAACTCTTATGTAATCTGAGAGGCGTACGAGGCACCGGAAAGTTGGACAAGAAGAATTTCTACAAGGCGGCTCTTTGGCTCCACAAATTTCACCCCAAAACCCTAGCCTGCAATGCGGGTGTGATGGCGGAGTTCGGGTACTTCAAGGACTTGCCGGAGATCCTCTTACGCCTCCTGGAGGGACCCAAAGTCCGGTCCACCCTGAAAAGTGAGTGGGAGAAAAAGAAGAACAAGAAAGGCAAAGGCAATGCAAGAAAAATGTATTTTCTCGGGAAAAGGAAGGAAAATCGTGCGAACATAGAAGGGAAAAGCCGGAAGGCGAGGAAACGAGAGAGGGAGAACAAGAGGAGGTCAAGGGCTGAAAATCCGACCGAACAGAGAATTGAGTCCAACATGGAGAAAGTGAAGGTTGAGAGAGGGAAGGCTAGGGTTTTGAGGAAGGAGAGAGAGCTTGAAAAGGCCAAGAAGGCCTTGGGGAGGTACACTCAGGACCCCGATTACCGGTTCTTGCACGACAAGATTTCTGAGGTCTTCGCAGGGCATCTGAGGTTTGACATTCAGCGTTTGAACAACGGAATGATCAACAAGATCAGTTTGGCAGCCAAATGGTGTCCTTCAATCGATTCCTCATTCGATAAGTCCACTTTGATATGCGAAAGCATTGCGAAAAGGGTTTTTCCTCGTGAGGAGTATGAAGAGTACAGAGGAATTGAAGAAGCTCATTATCTGTATAGAGTCAGAGACCGTTTGAGGAAGGAAGTTCTTGTGCCTCTTCATAAGGCTCTGGAGTTACCAGAGGTTTATATGAGTGAGAAACATTGGGACACACTTCCATATAAAAGGGTTGCTTCTGTGGCAATGAAGAACTACAAGAACATATTTTTGCATCGCGACAACAAGAGGTTTAAAGAGTACCTTCAGGATGTCAAAACCGGTAAGGCGAAAATCTCAGCAGGAGCATTGCTTCCCCATGAGATTATAGCCTCTTTGAAGGACCAAGATGGTGGAAAAGTTGCAGAGCTTCAGTGGGCGAGAATGGTAGAGGACCTTGCAGAGAAAGGGAAGCTGAGAAATTGCATTGCTGTGTGCGATGTCTCGGGAAGTATGGAAGGTAAGCCTATGGAGGTTTGTGTGGCTCTGGGATTGTTAATTTCGGAGCTCAGCGAAGATCCATGGAAAGGGAAAGTGATTAGTTTCAGTGAAAATCCTCAGCTTCATAGGATTAAAGGAGATAGTCTTGAAGAGAAGATTAATTTTGTGAAGCAAATGGACTGGGGTGGAAATACAGACTTCCAAAAAGTTTTTGATAGGATATTGAAAGTGGCTGTTAAAGGAAAGTTGAGTGATGAGCAAATGATAGAGAAGATCTTCGTATTTAGTGATATGGAATTTGATCAGGCTTCGAATCACCACAGTGGATATGGTTATTCAGGGTCGGAATACCTCTCATATTCCGCCTCATATAGTGAAGGTTCAGAATCCGCCTCATATAGTGAAGGTTCAGAATCCGGCTCATATAGTAGTGATGATTTAGATAGTGAGATTGAGAAGAATCGTAGGCATCAGAGAAGATCTACCTTAATAGAAAACAAGAAGAAGAAAGCACGTCCGAAAGGTTGGGAGACAGATTATGAAGTGATACAGAGGAAATTTAGGGAAAAAGGATTCAACAAGGTGCCGGAGATCGTGTTCTGGAACCTGAGGCACTCCTCAGCTACTCCAGTTACAGCCAAGCAGAGTGGTGTGGCACTGGTAAGCGGCTTTTCGAAGAATATGGTGACTATGTTCTTGGAGGAAGATGATGGGGTTGTCAACCCAGAGGCTGTGATGGAAAAAGCCATCTCTGGTGAACTATACCAGAAACTCCTCGCATATGATTGAATGAAGTGTCTCTCAGCATATAATTTTTAGTTCTCTGATAGTTCCCCCTTACTAGTATTATTCTGAGTTTTACTATCTTTGCTACAATTACTCAAATTAGGTACATGCTTGGTTTAGATGAGATGAATGGCCATATAGTTATGTCGTTCAACTTATATTGATCCCATATAATCAATAGTTAAATACAATTTTCAGTGTTCTAGCATCGTTGTCATTAAATTCTCAATAATTGATTTTGGATTATTGAGTTCTGATTTCTTTATGTTTTGAACAATCAGTTTCATGATTTACTTTAATTTCTTATTCTCATACCTTTATTGTTACAAGTGAGATATATTATTGCATTATTAGTTCTAGTAAGAAAAAAAATAATAATAAATAAAAAAATAAATAAAAAATAGGAAGAATGGGTGAACTTTTATGGGTTTGAACCATTTGATGAAATGCATCTGAAGGAGCATAGTGACTAGTATTTGATTAGGCTACAGACTCAGGCCTGATTGGATACCAGGAAAGGCAATATTTTACTTTTCAGATTTAGCTAAAACTAAGCTCTTAGTTTCACAACTTACTTCTAAGTGATTCTCTATTAAATACTCCATGTTTTTCTTTTTAGTGGACCTCATTTTGTTGTTTTCTATTGGCGAATATTCAAAAGTAAGTAACTGTCACATTATTGCTTGATTTGCTATTGTCTTCTTAGTATTTTGTTTAGCACTAAATTTTTGGTTAAGCACCAAAGTTGGTACTTCATTTGATCATATCTTTTGCATATTTGGATTAAAGTTCACCTGACTTTTCTCTTGAGATAGAACTGGAGTAATATTATTGGATTTTATAGCTGTAGATCAGGCTGAAACAGCTCTAACTCCAACTATAGTATCTCTTTGAGGTTGGAATGGCAGGCAATTAGGATTTTGTTGAGAATCCGAAGGCTGAAACAGCTCCTAACTCAAAATTATATTTGTTGAGATGAACAGCACTAACTTGACTTGTTTGGTAGAATAGAAGTGATTGATTGAGAGATTTGAAAATTGATATCTGGCTCCTTTAACATCAATGGTTCCCTTTCTGGTGATGTGGAATTTGTTTCCCATTAATTGAGGTGTTGGATGGGTAGATTAGGTACAAATTAACTGTTAAATTTGCACTAAGTGTCTACCCTCAGGCTTGAACATATGTTCTCACTCTTATCATTCCAATTTTTAGCATTACACCAAACAACTAACTAGCGTTTGTTTGTTTGTTTGGTGGTTTTTTTTTTTTTTTTTTTTTTTTTTTTGGGAGGTAAGTCACATACATGCACCTGATTGTTCCATCGGGGTTCCATCGGGGATTTGAACCCTGACTGACATTTGGGAGGAGGAGGAGATAATATTGTATTTATGTGTTTGCACTACTTATGGAATTTGGAGGCCCATCAGAAAATGAGTTGGGAAGTCATTAATTTTATTATGCTCATTCTTTGCTTTGCTGTGTTCTGAGTTCATGCCAGGAATATTGTTAGAGTTAATAAGACAAAGTTTTGTTGGAAGGGTGAGAAGCAGTTTATGAAGATATATAGGAAATTTTATGAGAAAGGATGCAGGGATGCCTCTTCCATTCTGGTCTCAGCCAATGCTCGGTTGTGCTGGTTAGCAGATTTTGCTTGTATTTTAATGGCGCGGGATTCTTTGTTCTGTGTAATTTGAATTTAAAAAATAAAACACTGGGTCAATTAGTTTCTTTCTAATAGTTTTGTGCCCATCATTTGGACCGTCTTTAAAATGTTGCTTCTTTTGGGGTTCTGCTTTTTCCTTGACTGGTAGTAAGTAACACCTTGCTCATCTCAATTGGTATACATGATATATATATATATATATATATAGCTCTAGTTTTCTTTGTTTCATTCAAAGCATTTTTCAGCAGCTAGACTTAAATATCTCGTATATTGAAATCATGAGAGGAAATATAGCACTCTGCTTTCAAACTCATGATTTACGTATTGTTTGATCATTGTCTGCTCAATATGTTCACTTTACTTTACAATTGAGTAGAATGGCAGCTGAAATTGCCCACCTCCTAATGTTACTTAATTGGCAATCGGCCAATTCAGTTTTCTAGCTTATTAGGCTGCTATTCAGTAGATTGATTCTTGTTAAGCACCAGCTCAAGCTGATGATAACAGTTGAGGTACTTGACCATAGACTAACCAACCTTAGCTCTGTGTGAATGGATTCGATAATATTGCACCTAGGCTGCTTACTAGTTGGTTTGGCAAGTATGATTGATTCAGCTTGCCTAAGTTGCAGGATTAATATAATCGGTGTTTCGTATTCCTTATTTTCAACTATTTTCTTCATCAGTGAACAGTACACTTCATAAGATTCTTATATTGAATAGCTGTATCTTCATCCGTGTTTGGTGTTTTTCATTAATCAAGTTGCTGGGTAGGGTAGATCGAGTACAAACTGACATTTAATGTTACTATTTCTCACAGTTATTGATTCAATCTATTAGCAATACATCAAATAATGATCTCTTCCTTTTTTTTAGTAGGTAATTCACGTACACATGCACCCATTTGTCCTATTAGGGATTCGAACCCTCTAACATTTCATTTGTAAAGAATAGGAGAGATCGAATCTGGGCTGCTAAGCCCTTTGTGGTAGTATTATTCTCATATTTGAAGTTGGGAAGACTTTAATGTTTAATTATGCTCATTTTGTGCGTGGTATTTTGAATTTTTATTAGGGAAAGAAATTCAGTGAGGAGTTCATCTTGATATAGGAAGTGGTGGACATGGATTGCCTAAAATCACTGTTATGCTCCGTTTGGTAGGATGGAAGAAATTTGGATGGAAGGGAGAGAAGATGAGATGAATGAAACATCCCTTGTAAGAAATTGTCTTTCCTTTTTTTTTGTTTGGTTGTATGTAAGAGAAGATAGTAGGACAATACCTAATTTTGTTTGGTATGAGAGAAGAAAAGAGAAACGGCTAATTGTAAGGAAAGTTTTGTAATTTAAAAATATTTAGGGTTAATTACAATGACACCCCCTGAGGTTTGATGTATTGACAGCCATATACAATTTGGTTATTTTTTGGACAAAGACACCCCCTGTGATAATTGTAATCCAAACAAGCCCTTAAAAAGTTTGAAAAGACGATATTGCCCTTCAATATTAATTCATTTTTTTATAAAAAAATATCATAACTCATAAAAAGTCAAATTTACGCTTATATATATACACTATTGCCCATAGGGAAATGCTATTGCGAGAGCGCGCTCGCAACAGCAGCGGCGCGCTCTCGCATCCAGACCGTCTGATTGAAGATTCTTGATATTAGGAATAAATATATATATATATATATATATATATATATTTTTGTCTCCCTTCTCTCTCCTAAAACTTTCCGTTTACCCTTTCTCTTTCTCTCTCTTTTTTTTCTTTTTCTCTTCAATTTTTTTTCTTCTTCATTAATGTTGACGAAAAAGAAAGAGGAAAAAGCTGCCGCCTATGCTTGGTGTTGATTGGTTGGTCTCTGTGCTTCGTTGGCGCCATCACTGGGGGTGTAAAAGATTGACAGAAATCGATCACCGTCTGTGAAAGTGATTGTGATTTGGGGTTGCCCAGCCCTTGATATTTTGATTCAGGAGTTGTATTTTTTTTTTTTTTTTTTTGCGACCAAATTTGGAGGATCGTAACCGGAGGGACAGTACAGTAGCCGAAGACTTCTCTGTGTGTTGGCGTCTTCATCATCGACGAGTTGTCTGTCAGATCGTGAAATTTTTGTTCTGTTTCTTCGTGTCGCGACCTCATTCTTTGCTATCGTCGGAGTTTCCTTGTTGTCGTCGCCCTGTGTTGTGTCCCTAGCTTCATCACCGGTTGTCTTCTTGCTTCATACATTGGCGCAGGTGTTTCTAGCTTCGCGCGACTTGGTTCGTTGGTCAGTGGCTGCTGTCTTCTGTTTCTGGCCGGTAGTTGCAACTTTTGTTGACGAAGAAGAAGAAATGGTTGAACAAGAAGAGCGGTGGGTCTTTGGGGTCGTTGAAGAAGAAGAAGAAGAGGGGTGGGTCGCCACCGCAAAAACCCCAAGTTCCACCGTCCGATAAAGATCAAATCAGTCCAAATTAATTCACTCAATTCCACAAACCCTAGGGTTCGAAATCGACGTATTTTGGTGAAGAAGATACCCCTAAATTGTTATAAGTTAGAGAAGAAGGTTGATCAATTCAAGGAAGCTCGGAGAAATGGTGGTAACAGTGGTTGGATCCCCAAAATACATAATATATGTATGTGTGTGTATATATATATAGTGAAAATTGGGTTTGTGATTTGTAGAAAGAGAGAGAGAATATGGGGTTTGCAGCCATGGTGGTGGACAATAGAGAGAAATGGTGGCTATTGTGGAGCTTTGCGGTGGTGGTGTAGAGGATGAAGAGACAGTAGGTGATGGAGGGTGGGGTGGTTGGGGTTGTGCAACAGATATTATATAAGGGTGTTTTAGTCTTTTTCAAAATGTTTAATATTTTATGGTTAAAATGAATTAAATATTGAGGGCACTCTCGTCTTTTCACATCTTCTAAGGGCATGTTTGGACCCTTGGGGGTGTCTTTGTTAACTTTATCAAACCTAAGGGGGTGTCATCGTCCAAAAAAATAACTAAGTTGTATATCACTGTCAATACATCAAACCTTAGGGAGTGTCGTTGTAATTAACCCAAACATTTATAAGGAAAATGTTTGTAATTTTAAAAAAATTATAATAGCTTTGCCTTTATTTCTTTGTGTCTTCCGTCTATATTTGGAGGGATACAAATTTGTGGAGGAGGAAGGAAGACTCATCCATCATCTTTTCTCTTCTCTCTTTGCCTCCTCTCTACCAAACGGAGGAAATTTGTTTCATCCTTTCTATCTTCCATCCACCCCTCTTCCTTCTTTCATTCCTTCCTTTCTTCCTACCAAGCGGAGCATTAGCGTCAGCCAAGCATTTTTTGTTGTGCTGGTTGGGACAGATAAACCCGTCTCCATCTCCATCTCCATCTCCAGTAAGCAATACCAGAAATCTGTGTACATAATTGATTTTAATGTCTACTACATTTTCTTTTAGGATTGATAATTGTTCATATTCTCCTCCTAATTCTTTTATAGTCTATATGGATGTTTGTCTCAAATATACGTGAATGGCCGTAACGTCATCACACAGCTCAATTTATATTGA